ACACACACACACACACACACACACACACACACACACACACACACACACATTAACCTGCATAATGGTGTGAAACCGATTATCTGTCACACCTTTGCATTTTGTCAAGAATCTCTCAAAGAAAAGCCAATTACAGCATAATCCTGTAAACCTGGAAGGATTAACTATTGAGATAAGATCTCAGTTTGATAATGGCTTGCACCTGTAAATCTATTACACAATAGTAAGCGTCTCTTCCCCGTTACACTCAAACACTGCTCTCTTACCTACACAACCCCGGCTCCTCGGTTACCATCGCTGCTGTTTGACCGGCTTTACTCTGAGCATTCTCTTTTCAATCTCAACAATCTCAGTTTACATTTGAATTGTATCTATAATCCAAAAAAAATATTTGTTTCTATTTACCTTATGCAAGGTCAATTTTAGCAAAGGCATGGGGGCTGAGAACTACCAGCCTGAACCCTTTGTCTTTCATCCCTTATTCCCATCCTCCTCACCCTGGTGGAGCTGGCTCTCGGTGTATCTGCAGGTGTTGCTGGGGAGCATCATCTTCCTAAGCAGGGGCAGGGTACCAGTCACCTCCTCTTCACACACCCAGTCCTCCACTAGACATAGATGGGGGTAGTTGGTGGCCAGCAGCCTCAACAGGGAAGAGTGCAGACCTGGGAACAGGTTATTTGTAAGTCTATTACCCACAATATTGTGGTGTATTTTACTTTTTTGTGTGTTTTTCCATTTTTTTCCAAACATAAAAGTCTTATTTGTTTCCAACAAGGGATGATCGTTCACAATCTTTATCACTTCCCACAACACACAGCAATTACAGTTGAGAGTAAGACAAACAAACTGGAAGCTTTTCCCAGGGTTATCCCTGCAATCTTGGTTTGTAACCTGTGTGCTCCTTATGCGATACTATAACAGTAAAATAAAATGTGGATTTAAGTCCATGTCTCACCCCCTAGCTCCTGCTGCAGTCCCTGGGCCTGTGTAACCAAGTACTTAATGGGGATCTGGTCCATCAAAGCTGCTGAGTACGACTTTGGCTTTTTCTGCATCAGGGCTTAAAAAAAGAAGAGGAAAATGTTGAGTGAAGCAAAGAAACTATAAGACAGGAAATAGAGAGGGTGATAACATGAAGCAAGGAAAGGACAAGCCGGAGCATAAGTGTTTTATTTGACAGTGTAAGGACGCCAGAGCCACTGTGCCGATGCGTTAAGAGGAGCGGAGGTGATTTTTCATTGACGTGGGTTCATTACCACTGCTGATGGGCTTCATTACTCCTTCCTTGAAGGCTGCGGGAGCACTTGGGTAAACACAGCAATTAAAGAGATGGGCATAAACTCTCACATAAATCTGGTCTAATGAGGGGCAAGAGGAGAGCTCATCATGGGAGAGAATAAACACTGACTAGGCTAACTGCTAATGCTCAATCTAACCTACAGCTGTCCGAGTTAGCTCAGTTCCCGCAGCCATTGTACTTGGCTCTTTGTCAGCCCTCCATTTATTCTCTATGAAGCCGCCAACATTCAGTGCCAAGAGAGAAAAGGATGAATGACTGCACATCCAGAGGGAGAGCATCTCCTACAACTTAACAGAGGACAAAAGCTGCCTTTCTCCTCTCACTGGCTGACAAATTCCCTCTATCTCACATACAATGCCTCCTCCATCGGAGGAGATGACAATGGATGCACTTTTGACAGGCAGAAGAGGAGGAAATAAGAAATGGAAAGGAAGTGAGCCGACAGCCCAGAGGGAAGTCTGGCACAGCGCAGTGGTATATGGGACACAGTTATTGTCTTGTACATACCCAGTTGTTTGGTGCTCGCCAACAGGTTCTCCTCATAAGACAGGATGTAGTAGAGGATGAGGAGTCGGGTGGTGATGGAGTAGCGTTGCCGTCCTCCTCGACTCGCCTCCCCTTGCTAGCCAACAGCAAAAGAGAAGCAAAACAACAGCTACAGGTGAGGGACGGGCAGCAAAGCAGGGCTCTGCATCGTCAGTGAATGAGTGATGGATACATTCAAAACAATGAATCTGCGATATAAAACCTGGAAGGCTTGGAGCAACAAGCAAGACTTGTTTTTAAATACAAAAGAGTTTTGAAGACAAAAAGAAATCTGATAATAAAAGCAATATTCTTTAAAGAGCCACTGAAGAGAAGGAACAAACTCCAGTAATTCTGGTCAAGGAAAATGTTGTTCTCATGTTTTTGCAGTTTCCGTGAATCCCTGAGGCAGACTCACCCCAGCAGAGCTCTGGAAGACATTGAGGATCTCCTGCTCAGTGATGGGCTGGTTGGTGGCCTCTGGGTTGGCCTTGGATGCTGGAGTGAGGATTGAGTTGATATAGGCGTCGATGAGGGGAATCAGTTGGGTGTGCATGGGGGTGGTTGTCTCACAGAGCTGGCGATAGATCCAATCCTGGAAGACGCACACAAGGACAGCACCGGATGGCAAAATTCATTAAAAAATAAATAAAAAAATAAGAATAGACATCTACCCGTTATTGAGCCACCGAGCACACATTTCCTACCTTGATGGACACTTTGTGCTTGGTGAAGGCTCTGCTCCGGAGCAGCTGGTAGATACAGTGAATTGGGAGGAATCCTGTGATGTTGGCACTCAAGTTGTTGGTCACTGCAACCCTCACCGCATGTGCTGTAACCACCTGAACATCAGGAAATAGAAAAACAAGTTATTTAAAAAGCAACGATGGAAAATACACAAAGCACAGCTACAAATTCTGTACAGTTCAATGTCACATTTTAGTGAGAATACAGCACACATTTAAAAGTAATTTGTAAGCAAACATAACTGACTGCAACATATGATGATTATATGCAGTGAGACTTTGTTACACTGAGGTTAGGCATCTATACCTTTACCCAAAACTGCTGTTTAGTGTTAAAACATACATGAAAGTGATTTATGGCCACTTTCAGTGGGTCATTTTCTTTAATTTTACAAATTGTTCAATCATTTTAGAGAGTTTACAGTAGCTCTCATTAGGGAAAATAATTGATCGTTGATGATAATAAAAGACCAAAGCCCTGAGAGGCAAGTGAGAAAAAAAAGAATTCTGGTGATCAATGTTCGAAGTCGGACCGAGTTGTTTTCTCTCATGTGATTAAGATGCAAGAGCAGTTGAAGAATTATTTTTGCCAGGATTAAGTTTCTTATTTTACATCTGTGAAACAGTTTTCCTGGGATCATTTTTCCAAGCTACAATTTGTTTCATCTTTAAAACAAGGCAAATATATTTTTTTGGTTCCGATTAATTTTTCTAATTTCTGAACTAAAATCCTACACAAACATACAAATAAATCACTGAACACTAGAATCAGCAGGACGAAAATGTGCATAAGGATTTAAGGATGACAACTTATGTACCTGTTCTGTGAAGATCTCCTGTGTGAAGATCGTCTTCATCTTGCTCAGAGAGCTGGGCTTGATAGCAATCTGTAGAATTAAAAAAAAAAAAAATATATATATATATATATATGCATGTATGTAATATCAACAATGGTAGATTTACTGTGAGTGAAAACAACCTGCAGGCAACAGTGATGGTATTTTGTAATTCACTCCTTTCATATTTCATAAGAAAAATTCTACATGGCAGGCGCAACACTGAATTGAGAGGATTGCCCTCGGGGTGGAAACAAACAGGCTCTAAATCCAATTACATTACACATCTTAGTGGAAATACACTGAGGCAGGAAAACTACTTAGCACACAGGCAGGAAACAATAGTGCAGTTAATAAGAAATAAAACAGCAAATTGGCCACGGGGTATGGAGTGTGTTGGTAGATATGTGTGTATGCTGCAAGTGTTTCATCAGTGATATGGTCTCTCTACGCTTCACTGCTGCAGTGGAGGAGTCGGGCCAGGAGCTGGTCAGCCAGACTGATGTATTGATCACTGCCTCCCTCCCACCTACCACCTTACCTTCATCCCCAAAGTAGAGCACACCAACTCAATAATGGAGCTGAGCTGGTTGCTATGGAAATACATGGCAACCAGTAATAGCATCTCTCCAAAAGAAGCGGCTACGCCTGCAGCACTGTAAGGAGGAGGACACACACACAAAGCATGCGAGGAGAGTGAGAAAAGACACTTGGACTTGTCGTTAATCCTGTATGTTACAGGACAGAATCTTAACAAACTGATTAGGCTAGTGGCATCAACCCACACACACACACACACACGTGCACATCACACCTTCTCCCATCAGCCTGCATCCCTGTCATCGCCCCTAAAGTCACTTAAGACACACGCATTCATATGTACTGCTGCAGTTACAAGTCATCGTTAGGACAGCCCATATTAACTTCACTTTAACAAACAAACACTTTGCTGAATTTATGAATCCCATAATAATAATAATACTAATAATAATAATAATAATAATAAGACATTTGCTGAAGGCAGCGACACAATGCCATCACAATGCTAACAAGATCAAACTATTTAAAATATTAGACGGGAGTAAAAGTGGAGAAATCTGACAAATGAAAGTGTTAAACAAATAATATAAGGAGCCTTGTCAGTAAAATGAACCATTCCATCATGAATGAAGTCAAGATGCGAGCACAGATGTTTTTACATTTTTGTTTCAGAGGTTTTCAGTACTAACCAGCTGTGTTTTATGATTTATAAACAGCTTCTTTAGTTGGTAGAATATTTTAACCTTTTTTCGGCTGAAATGCAAACGGCATGCAAAACCCAGACACCTTCCAATCAATTATTAAACAATAAAGACACTGCTTCTTGAGAAATGGTGAGCAGGTGAGCGCTATGCAATCTCTGTGTTAATGGATTAGATATAGGTACAAAATGTATGTAGGACATACCTCTCAAAGTATTCCTCCTCTTTGATCATCCAGCTGAGCCACATGACCATCAGCTGCTCCTGCTCTGGAGTGCTGGACGGACACACACACACACACACACACACACACAATAATGCTCACACTCCATGTAACAAGGTGTTCAATTCCAAAAGCTACAGAGAAGAGTTCTGGCTGGCAGCTTACATTGGCAGAAAATCAAAACTCAAGACCACTGTTAATTGAATAGGGTTTGTGATCCAAACCTCATGATTTTTTTTGTGTTTGCCGAATAAAACAAAGACTTCAATAAGACAGTCTAGCTTCATGTACCTGACCAGCGTAGGGAAGGCCAGCAGCTTGCAGAAGGACAAAGAGACAAAGCGGACGCCGGCAGGAGTGGCCGGGGGCCGGCTGGTCATCAACTGAAGGAGCTGCTCTGCCTCTTCATCTGTGGGTCTATAGAGGGATCATATTGAGAATACTATCATCAAGACATGAATGTTCTAGAGGTAATACTTTAAACAAACTCGCTGACTGTGGAACATTTCTAATCTAAAAAGTAAACTCTGCGTCCTCTTTGACCTACCTGAGGCCGGCGATGCCCATGAGGGCACAGTAGAGTCGGAGCAGAGCGCTGGCCTTCACCACATGCTCCTCTCGGAGGCCAGAGTAGCCTGAGCTGACCTCCTCTTGCATACCGCCGTCATTGGGCACGTGGGTGCTGCGTGAGCGTGGCAGGATGGCGACAAGCTCCAGCAGCAGCTGTCTGCGCATCTGCCACAGCACCGAGCTGCTTTCTCTCTTTCGCTGGCAGCACAAAGAGAATGACATCAGTTAGCTGCTAAGCCTCACTTACACTTGGGCCCCAACCAGTGAATGTTTGGCTTCGTTTATGATAAATGACAAACATATAACAGGTTAACAAAATTGTCAACAATTCATTTTCTGTTGAGGGCTGAAGGCCAAATATGGACAGAACGTTTCAATACATCTCCCCAATGCTGCAGAGAGGCTTCTCTACAGAGCTGAGGGAGAGTCTTATTGTCTACACAAGAGAAACAAACAAATGATAGCATGAAAGGCTGATTGTGAAAAGTATCTCTCTGTCTCCATGAACTGCCATCAGATGGAAATATGCATGATACCATGTGTATTTTTGTATCATGATTTAAACATTAGCATAAATGTAGGACTATTCAATTCAAGATATGAAAATTAAAACAGAAAATAATGGGGATGAAGAAAAAAACAATGGGCAAGAGAATGTATTATGTCAAGGAGGGTCCTCACAAGTATAGAAAGAGAAACCTACATGCTTGAGAATGTGTCCATGTGTTTCTACACTCCGGATGATTACATGACATGCACATTAAAAGCCCCAGCTTCATCCTGACTGAGGCGAAGCTTCTCCTACTACTACATACACACAACATGAACATGTTATCTAATCAAAGTCAAGTCATAAATCATGTAAACAACTAGTTTAACTTAACCCCATTACATCCAGCAGACTCAGATGAGGTGTCCACCCTAACACGGCGAGACTCTTGTAACGTGCACCGTGAATACACCACAACATCTTGTCCTGTCAGCTCACTTCTGCCTCTGCTCAACATGCTGAAACTAAGTGATCTTAGTGGATCTTACTGCATTGCAGTCGTCTCGGTGTTAACTTACCAAACTTCTTCTGTGACCAGTTTAGCGTCTACAAACTGGAGTGTGTGTGTGTGTGCGCGCCTAAACAAACAACAATTAATGGAGTACAGAACAAAGGCTGCTCCCTCACCTGTTGTCCTTTGCGAATGAACATGCCGAACCAGGTGCGGACTTTGCTATTGGTACCCAGTAGCAGACCACTGACATAAGAGACTAGCGGACTGACTGCCTCATCTGGTGTGTCTGGTCTGTAGTCCAGAGTCAGAGCCACCCCCAGACCAGGCAGGTGACACTCCTCTACCTGGGAATACACAGAATAATGAAAAACACTGTCAATTACATTATGTTCTTAGTAAATGCTTCTGATGGCATACGTTTATGTTGAAAAACAAACAAATGACACTCCACACTGTAAATTGGCGTCTGTGTTTTGTTCTATAAGCCACTCATTTAGTTGATGTCTTCTAGTGTACTCCACAATCAAAGTAATACTTCATGTTTGAGCTACTAAAACAAAAAAGACTCAGAGTACAGTATGTAGAAAATCGAATATTTTGCATTTTTTGCTTGACAAATAATTAATTGATTTTTAAAATAGCTGCTGATCGACAAATGGTTTTAGCTCTAATTGTCTAAGAAGACATTTACATTTACATTACAGTCATTTAGCAGACCCATTTATCCAAAGCGACTTACAATTCAGAGTCTATCACATTTCTACACCGTAGGCACAGCTACGGGAGCAATTTTGGGGTTAAGTGTCTTGCTCAAGGACACATCGACATGCGACGAGCAGAGCCAGAGCCGGGGATCAAACCGCCGACCCTCTGATGGAAGGACGGCCCTGCTATCCACTTAGCCACAGTCGCCCCAAATTTCAAAGACAAATTTCTCCCTCTAGGGATAGTATCACAAAGTGTACCACAACATATATCAGTGAAGGCAAAAATCTTTCTAACCCGTGATTGTGAGAATATAATGTTTCTGGCTAAACTGAGCCCATCAATATTCAATTAATGTGCTTATTATTTTCTTGATAAATCGATTAGTTGCTTCGTCGATGAAATGTCAGTAAGTTGTAACAAATGCTCGTCTTAATCTCATGAAGCCCAGCGTGTTTGTTGAGTTGTCCCACTAACGGGTGAAAACCCAAATATATGAAGTTTTCTATCACAAAAGACAAATAATCCTCACAATTAAGATGCTACAACCAGAAGAAACTTGACAGTCTTGCTAAAAAAAAAAGCTGAAACTTGATGACACTACTGATGTTAAACCTGCAAAACTGATTTTTTTATTTTTGGCCACGGAGTCTGTCTGCTGTTTGGTGCTGAGCAGGTAGTGCTGGTAATAATAAAGTTGGGGCTCTAAATTATTGTCTGAAAGTTTGCTATAAAGCTTTGTAAAGGTGCGGGGAGCTGCAGATCTCGGTGATAATTCTCTGTTAACAATGTTTGAAATACAAATGTGAAACCTGTGACAATGTGATCATAAAATATCAATTATAGCCCCTTTAAAGCCATTATGTTCAGCGTTTGAAAATTCACGACCGTGGCACTTCTGAGGAGATATGGGGAGGCACGGCTCGCATGCTGACTTAAACGTCTTAGGTGTTAAGAGAAGCTGCGAAATCAAGAAAATGAAAAGAAGTTACAGTAATTACTTGTGTCGAGATCATACTTACCGTTTTTATGCAACCATGTTTTTGCAAATAATTGACAACATTCTAAACAAACATCATGTAACAAGTGTTACTTTTAGTTTACACATGCCTGATTAATGTGAACAGAACAGCAGGAGAAATTCAGCGCAAATGCATCTCAAGCAGAACACAGCCGCTTTGATGGATTCTCTCGTCTGACATAGATCAGCTTTGGGAGGAGGTTATGTATAAAGTAGGACGCTGGTGTTACATTTGTGATTGTATTAATAGTGTGACTGACCACCATAGCTCTGATGTTGAGGGCCTGTGAGGGGTTCATCTGACAGAGCTGCCTGAGGGCTTCAGTCCTGCGTCGACCACCCACACTCTCCTCATCCTGACGCTCTCCATTCTTTATCAAACCTCGACAAACTGCAAAGACACACATGCACATTTAAGGAAACAAGCAGCATAGATCGCCCTTAAAAACAACATAAGTTAGAGTTTCCTGAATTTGTACATTTTGATACTCCCATTAACAACATGCCGACTGAGTTGTCCCAGAAAGTAAAGGAGATACTATACAATCAATACATTATGTTTGCTTAAAGGCAGTAAGACTGTATCATTTCTCCAATGGTCAAGTCGTGTTCCTCCATAAATTAACTGTAGAATCATGACTCATTTATTTGTCTGTAAATAAGATTTAACAGTCATCCCACGACAGCACTGCCATAGCCTGATCTCACATCTCATTTATCCTTGTACTTTCCCACAGCTGACAGTTTAAAAGGCAAACTGCTCATGGTTGGTTGGGACGATGGCATGCACTGAAGTGATATTAGTTCCCATCTCTGCCACTTCTGGATGATGGCATGTGCCACAGAGGAGTCAGTGCAGTTAGGTCTGGTAACCAGCTCTTGTTCAACATGACAAACCGTGATGCTTCTAGACAGAGACATTTCCCACACGTCACCCTGAGATCAATTCATTTCACTTTCAATTCAGTGAAACAAAGTCTTTCCCTGTAACAGAGCCAAAAGGATGTTGACTGCTATGTTGATCTGACCCTCTTTGTGTTATTAAGGAAGCACCGGAGACGGCGGGTGTTTTCTTATAAGGAGTCTCTCAAAGCACACACACAGCACAGAGCAACACAATACTGTCCATCAATCAAAGACAAATACACACACCCTTGGATTGGACCAGTGGTATGCCTGGAATTAGAGGGGAAAGAGATAAACTGGGAAAGAAAACGTGATGGCAACTCAATAGTGATCTGCCTATAACTACAATGAAGCTATCACAGAACGCTTCAAAGGTAACGTTAAGTAAAGCCTGATTTCTGCCTCAGTAGGAACACTCACTAACCATATGAAGCTCGTACTGGTAATTAAACAGACACTCTACCTCACATTATCAGCAGAAAGCATGTGCAGTGTTGTGAGACGGATGATTTACTGTACCTTCATTGAAGCTGTCAGGGACGTTGGCAACCAACAGACACAGAAACCAGTCTCCATTGCGGACATGCAGCAAAGCCTCTGCCACGTCCACAATGGGGAGCAAGGAAGGCAGCTCTAAGAAAAGGAAAAAAAAATAAACACATATTCATTTGTCAACTGCAGAGGACAAAAATCACTGAGGTGGGATATTTACCATTCGATAGTTTTGGTAATATACAGCTAATGATGCAGCTAATGTTTGCTTATATAGATAGATATGTATGCGTGTACAGAAGCCATTATATTCAGCACCATCCCACTTTCATAGCACATTTAAGGTAAAACTACAAAGAAGATAAAAGGAGTCGGGTACCTGCTTGTAAAATGCAGAGGACATCAGCGACCTCATCCAAGTAAACGGGGCTTTCAAAAAGTTCAGAGGACTTTAAGAAAAACTCTCCATTTGAGTCTACCACCTGAGAAACAACAAGGGAATGGGAAACATGGTGTGGATCAATCATCTGAGTCATCCTATTAGATGAAGAAGCGAGTGTTGAAGGGCAATAGCAGTACAAAGGAACATATAATTTGTCAGTCAGTGTGAAAGCAGAAATTTGGGAATCATTTCAGATGCAAACTTAAGCTTTGATGAACAAGTAAAGGAAGCTGTGCAATCCTGTTCCTTTCATCCAAGACCCATCTCAACAAGTAGTATATTTTCAATCATTCAGTATTTTGTACTAAATCATTCGTGCTTTAATTTCCTTATATTTATACAACTCTGTCTCTGTATATTCAGGCATGAAAGATGTCTCCTCCACATCTCTATACCATACAAAAAGCAACAGCTCAGACGGGCCACTGAAACCACCAAATTGCCCCATTTCTGCCACGTCTTGGTAACCTATCATCAGTGCTAGTTGTCTGGGTAGTTTAGAGTGGCATAACCAGAGCTAGCTTTAAAAACAATGGCTAACATCCTTTGGTTAGCATTATTTTGCACATATCTTTGACTTTTCTTAACATGGTTTTGGTATTCACTTCATAAGAAAAATACGTTAACCATTTTTTTTTAACCATTCAAGCTAACTTCACTGATGTTTTCAATGTCCTTTGATGTACTGAACCATGTGTGGACACCTCGTACCGTACCTTATTCATGATAGCCAACAGTTCACTGAGGGTTAGACGGAGTCTCCTGAGGGGATCACTGTGTTCAAACTCCAGGGTCAGGCCGTGCTGTAGCTGTGACACCAGGATGCTTTCTCCATTCGAGCCGCCTGCCTTGTGCCTGGCAGAAAAGACAGCACATTGTGTATAGTTGGCCTTTTTTTTTTTTTTTTTTTTAAATTGAACAAAGCAATATACAGTTGTGTGAAAAAGTGTTTGACCCCTTCCTGATTTCTTATTTTTTTGCATGTTTGTCACACCTAAATGTTTCAGATCATCAAACAAATTTAAATATTAGACAAAGACAACACAAGTAAACACAAAATGCAGTTTTTAAATGAAGTTTTTTATTATTAAGGGGAAAAAAAAAAATCCAAGCCTACATGGCCCTGTTTGAAAAAGTGATTGCCCCCTAAACCTAATAACTGGTTGGGCCACCTTTAGCAGCAGCAACTGCAATCAAGCGTTTGCGATAACTGGCAATGAGTCTTTTACAG